CGCTTTCAATATCACTGTTTTCTGTGTTACGCTAGCAATAGAAAGTTACAAAATTGTATTGTGTTTTATGTTTATAAACAAGTTAATTGTAGATACATACCTCCTCATGATTATATAAGTTGCTGTTANATTGCGTATTGACGCTTTCTAAGCGCGCTTTCAATATCACTGTTTTCTGTGTTACGCTAGCAATAGAAAGTTACAAAATTGTATTGTGTTTTATGTTTATAAACAAGTTAATTGTAGATACATACCTCCTCATGATTATATAAGTTGCTGTTATCGTAATTATCTGTGGCATCTGTCTTCTCACCAACTGTGTTGCAACCGTTGCTGGCACAAACATCAGCATTGCTATTACTGCAATTGTTTGCGTTTGGTTTTAAAATTTTTGATTTCTCCTCGTGTTGTTCCTGTGGCAAAGGAAAATGTAATAGGAATAGAAAATTATCTCTACTTGTATAGAAATCTAAAAAAAGGGTTTGTATACGAACCGTTTTCTCTTTGACAATTTGCTCAATTTCCGATAAATCTACGGCGGGATTTCCATCCATTTTGCCAGCGCTTGCCTGTAATAAATATAAAATGAAGAGTATTTATTTAATGATAGTGTTTTTATAAAATAAAACGTGACATAAATATAAATATAAGCAAATGAGTATCTTTGGACAGCGAAGGCATTGTCGGCTTTTGAAAGCAATTTCGAAAAAAAAAATTATCGACGGACGAGTGTGGCAGCCGGTTCGAAAACGCCCTATCTCAGAAAACTTTTCAAAAACGGGTATTCATTATGGTGAGGATCGCGGGTGGGCGCATGCTTGGCATATTGGTTATTAAAGAGAAAGTTTTTGTATCATTGAAAACCCGGCGGCGGAAGCACTTAAATAATTTCAGACATGTCTTCATAAGAAACAAAACATTTTTGGAAATATCACCACACATACATAAACGAGAGCACATTTCACTCGATCCTAATCAAAGAAACGGCCGATATTCTTCAATAAATTTCATTTAATGGATTCGCATGATCATCTGTATTTTCTTGCTTTGAATTTACACACATATTTCGTTCGATGGCAATAAATTACACACAATAAGTGGAGAAAATTTTGTCCTCCTGCCTTAGATTATTTAAAAACATATACTAAAAGATATGTATATGAATTGGTTAAAAGAAGAAAGATGAAAAGCATTTCAACGCCTTCATTTCCTGTTTTTCTCATTCTTTTACAAAATTTATGTACATACATACGTATGCTTTAATATATTTTTATTTTATTTTCATTTTCAATGCGCCACTAAAAATATATGCGCGCGTATTATACTGATTGTTAGCGTCGAGTTCGTCGCGTATATGGCAAGTGTTGATGTGATTTGTCGGTTCTTAATTGAGTGCGTTTCAGATGCACTTATCTACCTATAAATGTACATACATATGTATGTACATATGTATGTATGAGTACCAAGCTTTGCAAATACTTATAGTTGTCTGCACACACTATTGTATAAATTGTATTTTGTGAATGACAAACACTGCATCGCTGAGCACAACAAGCAGAAGAAGCACATAGTGAGTGCAGCCAACTAATTCGCCTAAGGCTCTTCGCTTCATAACTCAGAATAAGAAATTGTTTGTTGAAAATAAAAAAAATTTACATACATACATGCATATGTGAACGAAGGAGTACGAAATGTGTTATACGTATGCATTTTTTGTTTAAGAAATGTTGGCGCAAGCTGAAAGAACCCCAAAAATATTGTGCAATATTAATATAAGATAAGGATTTTTATGATAGAAAAACTTATGACTTGTATTGGGCATACAATTTATACTAGAGCTTTAACTGCTTAAAAAAAAAAAAACGAAAAAATCGCGTTCCTTGAATAATTCCTAATTTTGACTAGGCAATTGAAATTATAACAAGAAACTGTCACGTAAATAGGGTAATTAATATTCCTAGCTGAACGAGCTAGCAACGTAATTGGTGGTTGCCATGGGAACATAGCGCAAGTCAATCTGATGCTGAATTTCCACTAGACACTAATGACTATTTTGTTTCAAATGCAACGATACGAATAATTTGGCAGTACAATTTCTGTCATTTAATGACCAGTGGAAATTCAGCATAACGTATTTTGGAAAATGGCCATGGCATCGCCCATCAATTCCCACCAAACTCGGAACGCACATTGCTTAGAATCACACTAAGAATCTTGTTGAAAATTTATGAAATCGGACAATAATCACGCCCATTTCCCATACAAGGGTAATTTACAGAAATACGAAAATTGCGATAAATCAGTATATTAATTCCGAACATACTTTACTCAAAACCGATGTTTACATCTCTTAGAAATATAGAAAGATAAATGAGATGATCAAACATTTTTCGTAAACAGGAGTGGAACCGCCCACTTATGACTACATAAATTCAATTTCTACCAAACTCGCACTTGGAACAAAAAAGAAATATGTTGAAAATTTTTTAAATCGGATTAAAGTTTCCTTCCTTCTTCCCATATAACAGTAAACTTCGGACATACGAAAACTCTGATATTTCAATAATTAAGGACACTAATTTAATCAATCTTGAAACTTACAACAATCTCTGAACAAGAAATGAGATAATTATAGATTTATTTTAAATGGGCGTGGCACCGGTCACTTATGACTACGGTGACCATCCGTCCAATATTATACGGGGCAGTTCTCTTTTTTTTGACCCATTGTCCTGGTAATTTATTTATTTTTATTATTTATTTTATGAAAGTATAGCTCTTTTACTAACAAAAACCATATAATACCAGATTTCCGACTTTGTGCAAAAAACTAAAAAAATTAATTCTGCAATGTTTCACCAAAATTTCACACTTTTTAATTAGAATCTTTAGAAAAAAATTTGGTTTGCAGCATTGTAACTCATTAAAATTCCTGCTCATTTGCTTCTCTTTCAAAAAGATGGTCGAACATACTTAGTTTGTATGAAAAAAATGCGTAATACCGTCAACAAAAAAATTTGCCAAAAATTAATGGCAAGCCTTAGCGACTTAAAATTGCACTTTACTCTACTAAAATGTAACTAATTTTTTTTAACAAATTTTACGGGGTAAAAATCTCGATAAAATTATCCTACAAATTTGTGATGTTACTAAAAAGATACTGTTCCAGGGCTCATACATCAAGGATCATTCAAGAAGGCTTTAAGATCTGTAAGCTGTATTCGGCTTTCATAAATATGGTCACTGTACTTATGACTACATAAGTGTATATGTATCGGTAAGCGCCAGGGTTAGAATTTCGGCAAGTCTAAATAAGAGTAAATGACTTGAAAAATCGTAGCAAAAAATAAAATTCCGCAGTAGAATTTTTATTATCCTCCCTTTGCTGAAAGAAAAACATAATCCAGATTTTTTTTTTTATTAAGTATGCAAAAAATGTTGTACGAAAAATATGTCTATTGTGTGCTTGCAATTTTTCTCATTTCTAGGAATTCAGCAATCTTAAAAATTACGTTTCCGGCATAAATATCGGGGAGAAATTATGAATGTTATGTAGGTGATCAAAAAATTTTCACAATTCAGTTTCATAAAGGTAACTTATTTATGTCATACAAAACAAGACAATTCAACTTCTTTATTTTTTTGTGGACTAATATGCTTGCTGCAATACGCGCACTTTATTATTTCCGAAAGAAAAGATCGTAGGTAAAGCATAGTAGCGTAGAAAATTTTTCGAAAATCGGAGTAAATCTACTACGATCGAAGTAGGGTTCTAACCATGGTAAGCACTAAGAATGTTAATCCCGCGATCCCGTCCTTTTTTAGGTCTCGAAAATCCTGGGATTTTTGGCAAATAATCCCGGCATTTTCGGAATTTTTAATTTGCACTGATGACAATAATAGAAACTCCTTTTCTTTACCAGTATTGGCTATATTCCTTTTTTTATTTCATAATTAATATTTTTTTATAAATGTCTAGCTCATTATACATATAACACCGTGCGATAGTAAATTTTACACACAAAAATCAATATATTCGCAAAACCATGGGCAAAATATAGTAAAAATGCGTTTTTAGTTTTTCCCTCTGACGTCAGTAATTCAAAAACGATTTAACAAATTCAGTGAAATGTGCTTAGAGAAGAAGTATGGGTATCAAATTAAAAAGAAAATTCTGTAGAATTTAAGCAGTTTCAATGTTTTGCTGTGTAAAGACTGGTAAGTATTGAAAATGTCCTTTTAAATTTCTATCCTTGAAATTTCGCAATATTTGTTTTTGAAAAAATTATATAATAAGGACGTATGTATATAAACTCGATAACATCCACGAATTCCGTCCTTCCAACTTTACAAGCTTAAAAAATTACCTATTCGTCCTTGTGAATCCAAAAAAATTTTAACTTTTTTAAACACTAAAGAAGGTTTCTCTTGCATTTGGCACCCATAATTTTATTCTAAATACATTTCATTGAATTTTTCAAATAATTTTTGGAATTAATCATATCTATGAAATTACAAAGTCCTTTAAAATAAATCCTGACGTCAGAGAGAAAAAATAAAAACGCCACTTTAAATTAAAAAGTAGGTTTCAAACCCATTTATTTATTATTTGTTTTATGGTAGGAGAGCATGCAATTATGCAAATTATGGTAGAAACAATTTTTTCGATTTAAGTTGTTGAATATCTAAATCCCAGGACTAATCCCGGGATCCCGGAATTGTGATAACGACATCCCGAAAATGCCGGGATCGTAAAAAGCGAAACAATTAACATCCCTAGTAAGCACTTTATCGATTCCTGCAAAACTTGGTACAATTTTTTCTTTAATTCTAATTTAGCACAGTTTCAATAATACTATTCAACAATTTTAATTGAGCTTGAGGCCGCTTTTAATGAAAAACTATTGTGGAAAAGAAACAACAATTTTGAAAAAATGGTAGAAGTGATCGCTATTTCGGAAATCACCACATTTCCTCATCAGACTTCTTCAATAAATACTGTTTGAAATCGGGAAGAAAGACCCTCGGTTATAATGTAGTTTACAGTAAGGGTATATAAAGTTCGTTTTCGGCCGAGCTTATACTTTTTTAAAATTCTCCTTTTCTCTTTGCCACTTTTCAGGATAAATACTGAAATTAGAGCGGCACGACGATTTTCACTTAGTCTTTCAGGAAGTGTGCCTAAGTCGATTTCACATACATACGCGATCCGACACTGGAACATAATCACTGTGAAAAATTTGCTCGCTCTATGTGATTGGTTGAAGAGCCATTAATAATATAAAGTACNGCATTGATTATCTGACAATATGGATTGTAGACTTACTAAAACCGTAAATACACTGTGCACTTTGCGGCGAAATGTACGCCGCCAGCAACTTTTATTTTCCACTGTCAGTTTCTTTTGCTTTGAGTTGGCAAAAATGAGCAATATAAATTCACTTAGCTATAATTACTTCACTTTATCGGGAATATGGTTTCACTGTTACATATGTATATTTTTTTTATTAAGTATGCACATACTTATATGTGATTAGTTAAGACTGTGTGCGAGTATGACTAAATAAGG